AGACAGACAGACAGACAGATAGATAGATAGATAAAATATATGCAAATGATAGATAGATAGATAAAAATATATGCATACATTAGACAGACAGACAGACAGACAGACAGATAGATAGATAGATAGATAGATAGATAGATAGATAGATCACACTGGAGCAACTATCTTTTACTATAATCTATATCTAAACTATAATCTTTTTGCTAGAAGAACTTTCAAAAATAGCAACTAGCAGCTGAATCTGGAAAAATCTTCTACTCTAGACTTTCAGATTCATAACAGCTAATACAATAGCAGCATTGTCATTTTCACAGATCAGGGGGAAAAACTGTTCCAATCTGTGATGTGCACACTCTGGTAAAACACATATTTCTACTGGATTACAGCACTTCACTGTGCCACAAAATGAACGCAGAACAGAAAGAGATCTCTCTCCTTCTACAGACCAACGAAAGGTGCACAGCCATAAGATAAGTGTGAAAGCAATAGTGGGAGATTAAAAGACAGCGAGATTTCATGCTGACGTGCGAAAACTGAACTCATCCAGCAACCTAAGGAAATTTTAAGCATTAATTGAATGGAAAGAATATGATAAAATCATGCACTAGAGAAGTTTCTATTCAGCAAGAGCTTCAGGAAGTGCTACTTTCATATAATGCCTAGCATATCTACAGTAATATGGTAAAAAGTGAAAAAAAATAAAATCTTACACCCTTGAGTTTCTGCAACACTAACATGAACTAAAATAAGTTTGGTCGGATTTGCATGAATATGACAATTTAAGACAGCGAGATTTCATGCTGACGTGCGAAAACTGAACTCATCCAGCAACCTAAGGAAATTTTAAGCATTAATTGAATGGAAAGAATATGATAAAATCATGCACTAGAGAAGTTTCTATTCAGCAAGAGCTTCAGGAAGTGCTACTTTCATATAATGCCTAGCATATCTACAGTAATATGGTAAAAAGTGAAAAAAAAAAAAATCTTACACCCTTGAGTTTCTGCAACACTAACATGAACTAAAATAAGTTTGGTCGGATTTGCATGCATATGACAATTTTTTAACACCATTTTGTATACCAAATGGCACGCTAAACAAATTTTCTGTGTTATCTAATAATTTTGTTATTAGCGTTGAACATTGGCGATTACGTTGTACATTTATCTGAGCAAGATAAAACAAACTGTGTTGCATTTAAAAAAAGATTTCCTTTCTGGAACATGGCACAGAGTTGAAAGAGAAAGAGAGGTATTAAGGCACCATTTTTGAGCAAAAAATACATCAGCAGTTTCCTGTACTAACTCTTCTCTGAGCCTTTAGGGAGGAATCGCGCTGTCTGCATCTCATGTCTATTAATAGATACGAGTTTAACTATAAATCAGCATGTTGGTGCAGAAAAGAAGGTCTTGCCCTCTGTTACATACCTAGACATGGAGGCGTTCATGGCGAGTGCAGGGTAGGGGTGTCTGAAGCCCCCAGGAGGAATGGAGTACATATGTTGGCCTTGCCTGAAGATAGAAAAACAGCACTCAAACAACTGGCTAAAGCAAAATCAGGGACAAACAGATAATTTTTTTGCTAGAAGAACTTTCAAAAATAGCAACAAACTTCATTAAGCCATCTGCATGGGTAAAATAAGGTTGATGTTATGCATTTAAAGGCCACAGGGTTCAGACTTACTGAGGAACCAGCCATCCTAGAGGGTGAGGGATCTGTCCAACTGCCCCAGGAGAGAGAGGGTAATATGGGGACAGCTCTGAAGGGTGAGGGGTCCTTGGTATGCCTGAGGAAACCAACGCTGATTATGAAAACTGAATACAAATATTAACAAAAGTCAATTTAAGGGTGAACTTCTGTGCTGCAACTGGCACCAAATCAAATTGCATCATCTTCAAACACTCCCCCTTGTCTACCATTGTCCTGCAAATAGGTAGTCCTGCCCCAAAAATCACACCACTGGTTCAGTCAGGCAGATAAAAAAATATGACTGCAATTCCATTTAGTGCCACTAGTGGCGCCAAAAATGACGCACTTCACCTGTAACTACTTCTATCCCCATATTACTGCAATAAACCCCATCAAAACAAGTCATGACTCAGCATTTTTTGGATCATACTACTTTCTCGAAGCTTTAGCAAATGCATCTGAAGATTGCTGTTGGTGGTGCTTACCTGTCTTTGGGTCAAGAATTTCCGGCGAGAGGTGAGAGGGAGGCGTTCCAGGGGAGAAGTGTTCATTGCTGTAGGTGATCAGCGGCGTAAGGGGATGAACATGATGGGGGTGTTGTACAACTGGAACCTTATTGGACTGAAAAACAAAATGAGAACAAGAAAGAGGTGAGGGAGGGGGGAATGAAATAAGTGCATGTTTAAACAACCGAAAAGAAGAAAATAGCCATTAGGCCTCATTACTCGTGAACGGCGCCAGAGAGTTTTAAAGAACAATGGGTCTCGGCAGCAGAGTTTACTTTTCCCTACTTCTCCCAAAGGAAAATAAACACCAGTTGGGCATTTGACCGGCTGCATGGAGGGTGGGAGAAATCACACCTAACACCCTTAGCAGGCATTTCTCGCGTAGCATACTAGCAACAAGAGAAAGCTGTTTCCAGCTGCCACTCACCATAATTGACTCCAACACAGGCCTGACATGTGAAGGGAAGTGGCAGAGATCTTGTTTACAACACCTGCCACAAGAGGCAGCTAAAGGTGGCACCTGTTGTAACAAACCCTTCAGTGCTTCTCTTGGAAAGTTGGAAATAGGTTAACAGATCAGGACGACTTTTGAGATTGTTAAGGCGGCACAATTTTGGAAACCGATAGGCAAGCCCACTCCTGGAAAAGCTACCATTCTGCAGAGTTTAGCACCAACTCCAAATAAACACACCTTAAGCAGCTAATCTGGGTCTTCAGGATTACTTAAAATCTTGTTGGAGCAAAATTGGAACTGAAGTCTGCAGGAAGGCAACCCCCCAGGAGCAGGGCTGGCTACCCCACAGCTAGGCTAATGTGATTGTAAAAAGGACATATTACTTTCGAGTGTTGCAAGTACATTAATGCAAATACTAAGCAAAGCAAGTTCAATTCCACATTTCAGTTTAAAATTCTAAGATTTGCAGCAAGGGGCACATTATAGTGAGCATTAGCAAATCTCTACACAGTTTTCTCTTTCAGGACAACCAACGTAATGACGTACCAGCAGTTTGAAGAGAATCTTGCTGTAGTTAAAGTGAGGTAAACTTTCGATATGTTTACTTCAATAATAACTCATCATTTTTAGCACATAGTCAACTGAAGTTGCAGGAATGCTGGAGGAACCTATATTAACATATAATTTTCTAGCATATGTCCAGAACCCTGACCACATAAATATACCAGTAGGACTATAATATTATCAGAAGCAGCACTGCTGTGATCTGTACATAAGCCAATGCAAGGTGGTGAGTCATAGATTGAATGGGGTACTTGTTGGCTCAGGACGTCACAAGGGAGCTAAAGTGGAGAATGCGGTCTTGTTTCCTCCATGCTAACCTTCCCCCCACCTCTACGTAGGCAGTGGGTTTGACCTCTGCTCCAACCAGCACTCTGTGAACATGAACAAGGCTTGCATTGAGACAAGACTGGCTCTCGTTTCCCACAGTCCAAACACATCCAGATCTCTCATCAGATTCCTTGCCTTTCTCGTTCCATCTATCTGTCTGACTGTCTGTCTCTGTGTTTGTACATAATTTAGCATTGCATTAGCCGAGACAAGCTGAGCTTGGCTTCTGGAAACCCTGCAAGGTGCATCAAAGGATTGTTTTAAAGATATGTCAGTAGTCTAATTGAGAAAGAAAGGTAGAGGACAACTTGCACTGTTCATCTAAGATTGTGTTTGTCCACTGCACTATGATATTAGCTGTTGAGGCTAATGGTCTCTCTCGCGATCCAACTGCCAAGAATCCCTGCTGTGTCAACACGCCAACCGTTTTGCCTCCGACGCCAACATCCCAAGCGTAGACTGCCACCAGACTGGGCCCCTCGCCCCTCTTACAAATGAACTGGATTGGACCAGCCGACTCCAAACATCCCAAGGATCCATATCAACACTTGTTCGAGTCCTCCTGTTTGTTGTTTGAGTGGGCTCTTTACAACTAGAAGAAAGGAAGTGTCCACCAGATTAACACAAGGGGGGGATCAGGGTTGAAAACATATGCAAGCCGAGTCATTGGGTTCAGTAACGTAAGGACAATGGCATAACAACAACATTTTCTCAAGTCAACCCTTCAGGTTGCAATATGCTGGAATCCACCTTTAGATGGCAGAAATGGGTTCTTCTTCAATTGTGGTCTGTCAACAAGTACCTGGATCTTTTAACCTTTTGTTCAAACAAGTTCTGAGGTTCATCAAGGGCGAAGCCTTATAAATCTCCCTAAATCCACTTTTGTAAGTTGGTCTGTAGGAGGAGAAGACGCCTGACCAGCACAACAGAAAAAAACAGCTGACAAAACACCTCGCCAAACAGAAAAAGTGAGTCATTGTGTAAACATTGTTCCACCTTTTGTATCACATAGTTAAATTACATGGAGTCCAGAGTTCTCAAGCACATATTTACCAATTGTGCTAGGTCAGTCTTTCATTCAATGACTATTATTTTATGAGACACTCAGAACTAAAGTTAGCCAAATATTGTACCTCTTTGAACTGTTTTCTTTGAGTTCTTTGGAGTGACTCTCCACAAGAAGGTGTCGTAGCCATTTGAAACGACAAAAGTCACAACTGTACAAAAAGTGCAGGGTCAGCGCTCTACACCTGCTGATTAATCTGTTGCTCTTCTCCGCCCGCTAGCAAAGGAACCCGCCCAAAGACGATTTCTGGTGCCACCACATGGAGCTGTTAAAACTGGAGCTCTGCTAAAACAAGCACATTGTGGAGTAAGAAGCAAATGTGGCCTATTGTTTTTTTTCTTCTTTTGGCTTCACCTCCTCCATCTCTTACTTGAGTTACTAAGCAAACAGGCGTTTGAGCAAGAGGGATCAAGACACAATGAACTGCTTTAGCAGTGGAAGAATGAGAGGCTAAATACAGATTTAAATGAAGGATAATAGTGAGGAAAGGACAAGCCAAAACTAGCAGTATGTGCCAAACAGTATGATCCCTAACAATGGGGCGCAATTTACAATTATCACCATCTTTTACAGATACATGCCTTTGAATTTAATTTTAGCATCTCTATTAAGAACTATTTTCTGGGTTTTTAGCAATCTGCATCTGGTTTCACATAGATTTACATCCTCATACTTTACCAGACAACGTAAATGAAGGCCACAACAGCATTAATGGAAAAACTCAAATCACATGATTTGGTTTTTGCATGAACACGCAACACTTTTCCCATCAGCACAAACATCATGCTTTCACTAAGACACATCAATTGTCAATGCCATTAGCAGGCAATTTAAATGGAATTTCCATTTGTAATCTGATTTTTGAAAACAATGTGAAAATGGCTTGTGGACTCATGACTAATGCCTGGTAAAGACTATTAGTTTATAATAAATTATTTAAACCATAATTTCTTGACTAGACCTAATGTGCAAGCATGCTTTCGAGACAGACAACATCTTAGGTACTGGCTAGCCAAAGTGCAATTGCTGCGTCGGCTGTTGCTAACATAAGTGTTTGCTAAACATGGTGACTTACTGTGAGTTTTAAGAACCAGGTTTTGCACTTGCGATATCACTGTGAGATCATTTCATATCAGATACAAGACTCTGAGTGCCTACAACTTGATCTGTTGTGTATTTTTTCTGTGAAGGATTAGCATCAAAGTTAGCACTAACACACAGAAAAGCTGAAGGACATTCAGTTAAACTACCTAGAAATCAAACTTATATTCTATCTATGAAGAGTATGGGCTCTCAGAAAGACTACTAAAAAAATTCTTAATGTACCACCATTATATAACACCATGTGAAAACATAAACATGATAATACTGTATTTTTTGGACATTACCATGCTATTCTTTGAAGTTCCTTAGAGTACCATGATATATACGAATATGGAATCTAACTGTACCATCTTATATTTCAAAGTACCATAGTATTGCTACTTGATACATGAACCACAGTACTGTTACAGGACTTTTGTATGATTCTGACTGAAAAAATAAATCTCACACACAGCTTACAAAGGGGTTGACAAATCTGAAGTTCCTACAATGCCTCACACATCTCCTGCCTCTCTGTTCTGGTTTGATGTATTATTCATGCGGCCTGGGTCCAGATGCATTGTATGGAAGGCGATGTGAAAAGGTGGGCTCGGTGCTGCAATATCACCCTTGCACACATTCAGAGGGATGCCAATGGAATGCTAAACAAACCTGGTTCCTGAATAATTGAGCCTTTCGGACCGCTCTGGCTCACCCTATTAGCATGTGTGCCTTCTGGACCCAATCTGTGCAGCCACAGAAATGGTTTCCACAGCTCGGCAGCCTGGTGTTATTTCAACAGCCCCTGCCATTCATTAGAAACACAATAAACCCTCTAGCATGTCACCTAAATTATTTACTGGCTCTAATTAATCCTCCGATTACAAGAGATTCCCCCAGATCTGCATGCCAGAAATTAATCCCCAATGCCAACATCTAATGAGGAAGCAAAGTGTGTTTTTCTGACGGGTGAACAGTAGCATTCACTGTTTGTACATTCTGTAAGGACAACACAATACTGAGTGTTAAAGCAAAGTCAGCATCAACAGGCTTCAATGGTCAAATCATCTCCGTATAATTGGATTGAAATCCCCCCGCTGCATATTTGCAGTCTGTCTGGAGTCCCCAAGCATGATAATAGGCACTTTATGAAACACATGCTAAGTAAATAAAGACAAAACACCAGACTCAACAGGCCCAGTGTACCGGTATTATTATCAGGTCATCGTAATCTTTGGCCTGAGAACTTTCAATTGGATTCTCGTTTAGACAGAACTGACCCAAAGGTCTGTTTGGGAATCTCTTGGGCAAACGCTCTAATCTTTAAGCTCGGACCACAGTCAGTGATCACTTTGTCACTGTGGCAGAACCTCAGTCGTTCTGAGCTGACAATCTCCATGCTTGGAGGGTGGAAAAAAAACGTGTCTCCAGAATGGATTAGCTGCCATTTGGAGCGAGCATTCCTGAGGTTCTCCGCCGTGGTGTCTGGAAAGGGTGAAGCAGGTCAAAAGTTGGGTCGCATGAGTGGCCGGAGGGGGTGGAATGGCATGAAAATAAGTCTGTTGCTTGTTGACACTTAGAACGACAAGCTTAAGCCCTCGGCCTAAACCAGGTTTCGGCTGAAAGCTAGTCATGCTTGTGTGGGAAAAAATGTTTCCGGTTGTTCATTGCGAAATAAGTTACGCAGGCCACCAATGTACCTTTGCTCCTAAGGCAAGTTAAACAAGCCTATTCAGTTAAATACCTATATATTGCAACATTTTATTGTAGGTTTAACGGTTTCAGATCAAAATGTTACCTTTTAAAGCATTTACTTTCTAAAGATGCATATCATGCAAAAGCACAACACAACACAAGGTTAGTCTACACCCAACTTATCAAAAGACCTTTTTGATTGCATTGTAAACTATACAGAATATGAAGTTGCTGATGGACTTACTAAGTGCCCTGGCGTTGGTGATCTGGAGTCTTTAAGGGCTGCCGTCCCGGGAACATCAAGAAGCGGCCATTTCATTTGCAGATACTGCAGGGGACAAAAGAGAACGTCACAAACAATCATAAACACATGCACCAGGTTTTCTACATGTCACTGCATAACCAAAAATACTTCTATTATACTTAAAAGTGCTTCATATGGATATAGTGATGTAGAAGAATGTGTCTTGACTAAACAAAAGTCGCCAAAACCAGATTTTCCACCTTTAACAGACAGGTGGAAAGTCAAGTTTTCGATTTAAAGGACTACTCAAAGTTAAATAAATGTTTGCCACAGGAAATAATTCAGACTCATGTTAAGCACTTGGATGAAAATTTCATGAAGCTACAGTTGTTGACCCAAGTATTTCTGTAGACCTGTACTTAACCTGGAATATTCATTTAAAATGGAATGGAATGGAAGAAATCAATTAAATGGACCTCTGAGTCATCCACAGATTCCAGCAATCCAGCTGTTCTTTGTCTTAATTCATTTGAAAGCTGTGGAGATGAACTCCAAGTGCTGTTTAGCACCTGGGAGCATTAGCTGGAACAGTTTGGGGGGCCGAGACAGGAGCAGTCAGGCCCAAGGGAGGGGGCGAAACGTGAAAGTTAAATACGATTTAGACTGCAGGTCCCAGCATAGTAAATGCCCAGCTGGATGGATAATATGTGTGTATGTTAGTATGAGGAACAGCTGGGAGGAAGTCCCATAACGCACTAGGAGAATAGGAAGGGGCCTTACAGAATGCATGGAGCAGTAACAGAGATCTGCCTTTCTCTAATTTTGCCCCTTTATAAATCAATGGAGAACGCAGAAGCAACGCTGTTAGGGTGAGCGTGGTATGCAATGAGAGAAGGAGCATGGAGGAGACACGCAGTGATGAATGACTGGACTTCCTATACAGGGGGAGACGTTTATTGTGAAAGCCCTCGTAGCTCAGTGCGCACATGTCAAAGTTTGATGCCTTTCAGCTTTTCTGGGGCCCCTCGCATCCAGCGCTTATGATTTTCAGGGGTAATTTATAAAATCTAGTTTTTTTTTTTATCCCTTCACGGAGCTTCCCCGCCTGGCTCAGTCATCTGGTTTGTGTAGAAGTCAAAGCGTATCAGATGTTCCTGTGGAGTCATTCCCGTATCTAAGCTCTTGAGTCTAGGGTCTGAAAGCATCTGCGGTTATAGTGAACATATATACCTCAAGAACTCTTTTCACAAACCAAATTTATAGTTCTACTTAAGGGACAACATAAATGTAGACAAATCCTTATACATCAATGTCCAAGCATATATACTACGGGTGGGCTATATGATCAAAATCTTATAATCATGGGAACAGAATATCAAAATAAGTGTATTTTTGCCTGAAATGCAATAAATAAAATAGTTTATATATTAAATAGCCATGCCTAAATGCCAATTTTTTAATAATCCAGTAAATTAAATACTTATATAATTTTTTATATTTAAATGTAATGGATGCTAATCAAAAACTGATTATTCATTAGAAAAATACATTTGGCAACAACTGCTTCACAGTCAATGTATAATAGTCAATGATATGCACACGTAGTCGACACTTATCTAACAATACCAAAATGGTGTAAACCCTTGTATAGGCACATGCTGTAAATTGTCCAACCCTGCAATACTAAAACAACAAAATCTCATCTTGCGCAACCCAGACATGTTCTAAAATCAAACTTCATGGCACATTTGGGGTTAATAAGGCTTTGTTTCTCCCTTTAAACTTCATTCATCACAAGCGGAATTGTTGTGAGGAAGTTTGGATAAGACTGTGGGCTAAAAATGGAAAAGACATTATGGTCCGGTGGACGGGGTTGCTGGGTTTGGTGGTGAGGAAAACAAAAGTAGTTTATGAGCAGGGACTGGTACAGTTTCCTTACAGCTGGCAGGATGAGCCGAGACCTTGTGCCCTGTTTATTAAAGATGTTGGGTTCACTTTCACCTTCCGTTGTCTGCAGTAGAGTTGATAAACGACAGTTGCAAGTTAAACATCTAATTTGGCCAGACAGTCAAAATTAATGTGCTTAAAGGGACAGTTCACCCAAACATGAACTCAGTTCACTCCAAACCTGTATGACTTACTTTCTTCTGTGGAACAAAGTTATTTTGACGAATGTTGAGGTCCAAGCAACATCTCAAAATATCTTTTTTGTGCTCCACTGAAGAAAGCCAGTCATGCAGGTTTGATATGAGGGTGAGTAAATGATGACAATTTACATTTTCAGCTGAACTATCCCTTTAAGTCTGTGGTCGGCTTTCAGAGGGCATCTGTGAATGGTTTTTGAGAGGAACCACTCTGAGGAACGTCTAGTTCTTGTCGGGGGCCTTACCCTGTTTCTGGTATTTGCAGCTGCAGTTAAAGTGGATGGATGACTGAAAAAATACAATCCACCTTCCTCATCATAACCACCATCACCTGACTGAAAACTTAACATATTATCTTGAAATACAATCTCAGTTTTGCCTTCCCACACAAACTCACAGACTACCGGGCTGCAGGGACCTGTGCCCTGCTTTTCTGGAGACACAAAGGGAGATCGGCCAAAGTAAACAGTCTTGGGGTCTGGGGATTTGTATTTGAAAGCCATAACTCTAGGAGCAGATGCTTATCAATATGCAACATTGACTTCATGTTGAGAAGAGAAAAGAAATGGTGCACAGACACGAAACCCTCAAAATGCATGTCAAATTTCAGCGACGACCTTCTAAGCAACATAGTAAATCAATCAAAGCTTCACCAAGAAAATCAACAAAAACACAAACAAATATTATGTTATGAAAACCTAATCACAACCACAAAAAGGCAATGTTTTCTTTTTTTCTGCAAACTGAAAATATGTGTTCAACCAACCAGGGTTTTATACAGACTGACAGCAACATTTAGAGAACAAGGCGGCCGACATAATACAACTAAATTTAGAGCAAATGAGATTTTTTTTAATTGTATTGCATTTTTAAATTGTATGTATATTTAAATGTACTTAATACTGACATTCACAGAAAAAAAGAATGAAAGTACGTTTATTCTTGATATTCACATAATCTTAAAATGGCCAACTATCAATAATAAAATTTAACAAAATAAATTAAATATTTGTTCTCAATACCAATAATCATAAAATGGCCAAATATCATCAGATTAATCTGACTGGATGAAATGAAATTATTCTCGATACCAATAATCTTAAAATAGCCAAATATCAGCATATTAATCTGGCTGATATTAAAATAAAATAAAATAAATATGGTGCATACTAAACATTAAAAATATACTGAATTATGAAAACAAATACAGAATTATAAAAAAATGGGTGTCACATCACCTTGGGCAGGCTGAGACAGAAGACATACTTCTAACCAGGTTCATGCGGTTTAATTTCATAAATACACCTGGAGTGCGTTTGTAGCTGTCTACCTGATGTCAAGAGGTCACAGAGAAAGACTGAAATGCTGCTTAAATGCTTTCCGCGCAGCTGAGCGAAGACGATGGAGATCTTTAGCAGGATTATGACAACTTAAAACGTCACAAATATCAATCCTGACAGTCATATGCTAGAGGAAATGAAGCCCTCTGTCAAAACAAACAGAAGAAGACACCTCTTTAAGGAGATATCTGGAAGCCTCAACATGTGTTGCTGCAACCGTAAGCTTCGTTCTGGATAGCGGGGATTTTAAACGCTGTACCTCAAACCGCAAGAGCTTCCACAAAATAGCACAACGTTCTTGGGAAAAAGGGAAAGAAAAAACAAATCCGGAGTGGGGCGGAGCCAAGTAGGTTATGTCAATCATTCAAAGCATGGCCTACATTTCTCCCTGATGTTTCCACCCATTCCACACACACCCTCCACTAGAATGGAGCAGAAAGCTGGTGGCACACAAAGGAATCCATTACATCTCAGCATCAGAACAGTTAAGCCAGACAAAAGGCTCTGGATTACGTGCATGTATGCATATGGGCAGTGTCCTGATGCGGCCAGAGGGGTCCGACATCACCCGACTCATTTATTTATGCGAGCGACACCTCTCGCTGCTCTTTTCACTGCCGCCAGAGGGAAAGACAATAGAGGCGGCGGTTTCCAGCCCTCCCTCACCACAGGTCTGCATTCAGGCCTATTGTTTGTTTAAGAACTGCGAGAGTTTCCGATAATTAAGTAAACAATTCATAGGCAGACGACACCCCTATCTGTGCTAATTAGAAATTAATTTGCGGGGAAAGGACAGGAATTCTCGACCGCCTCCAAATATGAACGACAGATCTAGATGGGACAACAAAGGATTCGAACAACAAAAACAAACAACATTAACAAGCAAAAAATGAAGTAATTATGAAGTCTGATTTAAGAGATTAAACTCAGAAGAGGAGGAGAAGCTCATTAAAGCAGACTTATCTTATTATAGGAACAGTAAGCAGTTGGAGTGCAGAAATGTAACCAACAAATCACCTATTCATCCACCGATCACATTAGGAAGTAATTCAACAAGTTTCTGGGAACTTTTAGGTACAAAGGATCAGCAGACGCTAATTTTGTTTCAGCAATTGGATCCAAACCTTATAAAACAGCTCTGTGCTTATAAACAGCCACAGCATTACAGAAATTCCTCGAAACAAAATATTACAAATTTTAGGACAAAAAAAAAAGTCATATTATTGAGGATGCACAATATAATTAGGCAATATAAGGGTTTATTGTATTGTTAAATAAGAGATGCATCTCTGATTTAAACTGGAAAAAAATATAAAAACCGTTATCGGTCTCATTTGTTCAGTATAGTTCGTTTTTGGTAATTTGGTAACTTTAATACTAATTTTGTAACCTATTTTATTTAAAGAATGTAAATTCTAGATTGACTTTTAAAAAGATTAATAAACATTAAACATTAATAAAAAACACATTTATAATATTAGTTACTATAATGATCATACAGTTCATATTTTTTTATTAAATATCAACTGTTAAATGAAATATCAACTCTTAAATAGTGTAGAATTTAAACAGTGTCCTATTTTTCTATGCCATTTATAAT